CATCTCTCGAAGAAGATTAGTGAACACTTCAGCGTGATCGTCATCCTCTTTCCGAGCAGCCGAAAGAAGTTGTTGTTTTCTTTCCCCAGCAAGGTCCTCCAAATCCATGTCTTCTGGAACGGGTATCTCCTGATGAGGGACCTCCGATCCAGCAACAGGAGGGGAGGGTGGAGCAGCAGCAGCAGATGATGCAGCCCCTGTAGCCTCCTGCTGAGCCTTGAACTGGGACAGCAGCAGCTCCTGGAACTTAACGAAGATCGGCGAGGCGACCATCTGCTGCACCTCGGCTGGGGCCGCAGCGAGGACCTCAGGGGAGAGCTCGAGCTTGGGCGCTGTGTGCGGATCCTGCGACGGCGCCACCTCCTGCACCATGCTGCGCAGCTCCACCTGGTACGCGGCGATCTCGACCTGCACCGCCCTGATCTTCTCGCGTTGCTGTCGCAGAAGCTCCTGGGCCTCCTTGACAGACTTCTCCTGCACGACCATCTCATCCTGCATCTTTGCCAACTTCTGCTGTGACCGCGCCAGCTTGTGACCGAGAGTGTTGTGCCTGGTGACGGCAGGCTTGCGCTCCGAGATCGACTTGCGCAAAGCCTGCAGCTCGGTCTCCATCTGAAACTGCATCGGCATGCTGCCGAGGGACGAGCACTTCTTGAGCGCGCCGAGGGCCTCCTCAAGGGCGTCCGCCTTGGAGCGCAGGCCTGCGAGCTCGGTGTCACCGTCAGCGGCGTCGTCGCCAGCGCCGTCGGCCGCAGGGGGCTTACGACTGCCAGTCTCTCCGCCTGCTGCGCCACGGGTGCCTCCACCACCGTGTACAGTGAGGGCAGCCACCTGCTTGGTGAGGGCCTCCAGCTGCTTCTCCATCTTTGACTGGGAAGGAGGCGGTCCACCAGCCCATGCACCACGAGGCCGAGCACCACCATCCCGAGGGGCAGGCACGGGCCCCTGCGCCTTGGCCTTGGCTGCCACCTTGGCGCGCTGCACGATCGACTGGGGCGCAGGCTTGCCGCAGACGCAGCGGATGCGGGACGCCCAGTTCTGGTTGCGCCCGCAGTCTGGGCATCCCCATGTCGGGAAGCGCGGACCCGCGAGCACATCGTCGACATCGCGTCCCATGGGCGGGCGCCCCTCCGAGACGCAAGGGGTGCTCCCACAGGAGCTCACAGAAAGCGTGAGGGTTGAGATCCCTCGAACTGAAAGAAAACGAGCCACAATGACCCGCGAGAGCGACTGCCGCTCTGAAGACTGCTCTCGCAAGCCCAGAAATCTCTGGGCCAGAACGGCTGGAGGAGGAGGAGGAGGAGGAGAGGGAGGAGGAGGAGGAGGAGGAGGAGGAGGAGGAGGAGGAGGAGGAGGAGAGGAGGAGAGGAGGAGGGGGAGGGACAAGGCGACGGAGGAGGGGAAGGGGGAGGGGAAGGGGGAGGGGGACGAGGAGGAGGAAGAGGAGGAAGAAGAGGAAGAGGAGGAGGAGGAGGAGGAGGAGGAGGAGGAGGAGGAGGAGGAGGAGGAGGAGGAGGAGGAGGAGAGGACGCGGAAGAGGAGGAGGATGAGGAGCGCGCGGATGTCTTAGATTGGCGCTGGACCCCCACCCTGTTTCGCAGAATGCGCCTGGGGCGGCGCCAGAGGTGCCGATAGGGGGGCCCGGCGCTGATTCAAGCGTAGCTCCGAACGTTTATGTCTATGCCGTCGTCTGTTCCTCTATGGAAGAGGAGGAGGAGGAGGAGGAGGAGGAGGAGGAGGAGGAGGAGGAGGAGGAGGAGGAGGAGGAGGAGGAGGAGGGAAAAGGGGGGGGGCTAGGCCCAAGAGCTGGCGACGAGGAGAGCCGAGCCGCCCCTAGGGGGAGCGGGGAGGAGCCAGGGGCGGGCGGCGGCGCAGCTTCCTCGGTGGCCACAGCCACGATGGAGGGATCGGGGTGGGGGGATCGGGATGGGGATGAGGGGCAGGGGCAGAGGTACAGCGGAGGCCAGTCCACAAGAGGCTTTCCACGAAGACCCCAGGAGGCCATTGATTTCTGGTGTGGGAACGTCACGCTTTCCATAGCAGAACCATCGAAATCCAAGAAACCCAGGGCACCCTGGAGGCAAGCAGGGTGTTTCTTGGCATGGGTCCACTGTATGGATATGGGGCTAGGGATATAGGGATACGGGTATAGCGATATGCATCTGGGACAGGGATCAAGGTGGGGACGGGGAGAGGCTCAGGGATAGGGATACAGGAACAAAGGTATAGGGATTGGGAGGGCGGGGTAGGGATAGGGACAGGGAGAAAGATAGGAATAGGGATAAGGATGCACTCTCGAGGAGACGAAAACATGGATCCAGCTTTTTCTTTCTCGTCGTCGTGGTTGCCGATGCTTTTGGTCCGTTCCTGCAGGTCCTCGCCACCGCGCCTGGACGCCAGGCCCGGGACATGGGCCAGGATGGACCCCTCGGGAGGGCCCGCGGACCGGCTCTGCATCGCCAGGGGGCAGAGCCAGAGGGGCAGCAGAGGCCTCCGCCTCCTCGCAGCACCGGGCAGGCGCAAAATCGGGGGCACCGGTAGGGGGGGACAGGCATTACAGTGGGCCCAGATCAGTAGGTCAGCCCTGCCAAATCAAGGGTATTCTTGTGTCCTATGCATCGCGCGTCGTGTCCTCTGCAGTCCTGGGAAGAGGCCATGTTGGAGGCCATGCTGCAGGCACCCTTGTTGGAGGCCACGTTGCCGTCGGGAGAGTCTTGTGTCCTGTCGCGTGTCCTGTGCAATCAATTCTGCCTGTAGGGGGGGACGCATCGACCCCCAATGGCCCATCGATCGCCGATAGGGGCCCGATAGCCCTGACCTGCCTAGGAAGGTGCGGACTCACTAGCAGAGGCCTATCGCTGATCTGTCGGCGATGTGTCGCCGATTCCAGGTCGTTGTATCCCCCCCCTATGCCAGTCCACCCTTGTCGTTGCCCCTCGCAAACATGGAGGCGCGTGGATTAGTGAGCGTTCTTTCATTCATCGTTTAGCCGATCGGCGCGGGCCCTCGCCCCCCCCTCCCCCCCCCCCAGATGGAGTAGATCTTGGCTGTTTTTGGCGCCTGTTTCGAGCAGGTGGGGTCCCTCCCCCATGGGACGCACGGTCCCAAACAGCCGCACTAAGCAGAGGTCCAGAGCCAGACCCGCCCCCTCCCCCCTTCCGCCCAATGTCGAAACGCCGACTAAGAAATCGCGCACCGAGCGACGGGTCTCTTGCCTATGCGAGGCCGACACGCTGCGTCGCCAGGCCGAGCGGCACTGCCCTCCTGCCTCGGGGGTGCTGTCCTCGATCCGTGGGCCTGGCGCCCACGCGAGCTATCCACGGACCCCCGATTCATCTCACTTGGCATCGCTCGGACGTGTGCATTTTTCCTTCGGCGAGGACCATCGAGGAGCATCCTTGACCATTTGGCGAAAAAGCCACGCACGAAACCGAAACAAACACAGGGAATGGACGTCCGAGCGATGGCGAGCTCAGCGTGTGCCCCAGCTTGACAGACGGCAGCGCACGGCTCGCTTCTCGCAGCCCGCAGGCGGCAGGAGGCTCTGCAGCCTCGGGCCGGGCGGGTTCCAGGGCCCTCGTCGGCCCGATCGATCCGGCTCGCTGTCGGCTCCGGCCGGCGCGGTGCGATCCGATGTCGTGGTGTGAGTTATTCTGGTGAGCCGACGCGTCCCTGTGCCTGCGGGGGCGCTGCTGTGCATCCTGGCGGAGAGCCGATCCGGTTCGACTTCGACCCCGGGCCGGTGCAGCCCGATCCGAGGCACACTCCGACTCGACCCGATTTCCCGATCCGGTGCTGGCCGATCCTGCATCAGCATGAGCGGCTGGAGTTTCGCGCGGATCTCTCGGGTCGGCGCTGGAGGCGCCGTCGGGGGGGGGGGGGTCGGGCGCCAGGCCCACGATGGCGCGTGGGCCCTTGGGGGAAGTCTGGGTGTGTGTCGCTCCTCATCCGCTCGCCATCTCCTCCGCGGCCGCTCGTAAGTTTCTTTTTTCTCTTGCAGGTGCACAGCCAGCCCTTCCGAGACCCTCGCCACACAGCGCTTTTCGTGCCTTCGCGTCACCGCTGACCACGCACATCGGTGGACCCGAAACGGTGCGGTGACGTGTTCGATCATGGACCCCTTACTGAACGCAGCCGTCCAGCTTTCGCGCAGAGGACCGCCAGATACCGCCAAAGACTGCCAGAAACCGCCGAAGACTGCCAGAAACCGCCGAAGACGGTCCGAAGACCGCCGAAGACCGTCCGAAGACCGCCGGAGACGGCCCAGGATCGGTAGGCATCAAAGGATCCACTGTCGACAACGCAAGGGACTCGGGATGGCCGAACGGTTTTGGGACTTGGGTCGGTCTACGAGGATGTCTCGGACAACGGGCATTCAAGGTCCCAAACGGTGAGGTAACGGACCGTGCGAGGGGGAGGCTTCTTTCTGACCGCTCGGTGGCGCATTCGGCCAGCGCAAGCGTCTAGTCCTCCCAGATGGTGTCGGAGTAGATGGGGTCGGAGCTTGGCGCCGCATCGCCGATACATCGGCGATTCGGCTCGCTGTGGAGCCTGATGGATCTCCACTCCGGCGTCGCTGATGCACCGCCGACATCGCCGATGCATCGTCGACGCATCGGGAATGCATCGGCGATGCGGCGTGATCCTCCGACCCCAGCCGGGAGGCCTCTAATCAAAAGCCAGGCGAAGGTTGGCATCCCCGTGGCTGCTAAAACGGAGCTATGGGAAACTGTTTCTTTCTTCCGGGAAGCAGCCCGCTTATTATTTAGCGATTATTTAGCGCGCTGAGTCTTATTCCAGGATTTTTTGTTTCTTCCACGGATTTGCCAGCCCTCGCCCAGCTTCTGACCCATCTATTCGGACCCGGGTCGGACCCCATCCGGGAGGCCTCTGAAGCGTGCCCTCGTCGAGCAGCGCGCCTCAGGCTCGATGGCCGACTGCCCGGCACGGTGCCGGCTCCGCCCCTGGCTCCGCGCCCCGCTCTTCGGCCGACCGCCGAGGTTCAACGCCAGTGGTCTGACGCTGGAGGACCCGGGCCGCGCGGGAGGAGGGCAGCGATCGACGGACCTCCTCCTCGCTCCTCCTCCTCCTCCTCCTCCTCCTCCTCCTCGCTCCTCCTCCTCCTGCCCAGGGCAACCGACGGGCCGAGGCCTCTCTATGGCCAGGACCTGGTGGCCCCCCGACCCCTGCTCGCCCCCCGCCCCCTGCTCCCGGACCCCACCGAGCCATGACAAAAATCACGACGGAAGGTCTTTCACCATTCTCGGCCCCTGGGGGCCCCGCCTGGGCCTCGGGACCGTCGAACAACGACTCAGGAGGAGGTGCCGCTCCTGGCACAGATGGGTCGAGACCTCTGGGGGTCGACGTTGTGGACAGAAACATGACGTTGGGGATTTGGGCATCGACTGCGCGTACACGAGTGACCCTTCGCCGGGGTGTGTTTGTTCGGGGCGGGCCCACCGGGGTCCCCGCATCGCTGAGCGCGATGCCACAGCCGCGGCCTGCGCGCCCTGCTTGGCGCCGCATCGCCCCCCTCCCCCCCCGAGAGCCGCGCACCGAAGGCCGTTCTTGCCGAGGGGCGCTCTTCCGTGTAGACGGGTGACTTCGCGAGAGGTCGATCGGCACGTTCGCGTGGGCCCGATTCGCTGCTCTTTCGGTTGCTCAGTTGATGCCTCCCGGTTCTAACTCGCTATCGTTTGTCAAGGGCATAAAAAACGACCCTACTCTGGTTTACGAGGCGCTGTGCGCTGAAACTCCTGTGGGCTGACAGGGTAAACCCTGCGTGATGTGCCGCGTCTTGGCGGCTCTAGGCTTTGGGGGTTCCCAGGAGGTTTACAGACCACGCACTTGTGACCCGGGTCAGGGCCGTTGTCTCATCCCTCAAGCTTGTTCCAGCTTTGCAGCACAGCAGCAGGACCCGGGTCTCGTGGCCTGTGGTCCTCTTGTTGCCTGCCCGCCCTCGCTCATCCTCTGCCTGCCCTCGCAATCCATCGTCCTCTTGACCTCGAGGCCTCGAGGTCGAGCGAGGAAGAGGAGCGAGGAGGAGGAGCGGGGAGGAGGAGCGAGGAGCGTTCACTCGCCTCCCTGCCTGCTCGCGACCTTCCCGCCCCGTTCCGGGCGATGTGACAAATTCGCGGCGGCCAATCTCGGGCTCCGGAGGCCGTTTCCCCGCCCCAGGACCGCCGCGCAGACCGCTCAACCTGCAAACCGAGCCCCGGGGAGGTGGTCGGAACCCTGGGGCCCTGCAACTTCGGAGGGGAGGGGGCCCTCCTCCCCCCCGCCTCCTCACTCCCGAGGAACATCTGCACGAACATATAGAGTTAAGTCGGGCGTGTCCCTCTACAGGAGGAATGTTCAAACATAATAGTCAAGAGATAATCCGGGGACGATGGTTCGAGTACTTTTAATAGTTGTGATTGAATAGTTTCTGACTGTTGTTACTTTGTATGACAACATCCGCCTGTAGGGGGACATGCCCGACCTAAACTTCGAGACTGCTTTTGGGTCCGGCGATCACCCGGGTCATCGGGCCCGCCCGCCTCCCCTCCCCCTCCGCGCAACCTGACCTTGTCGGCAGCGCAGGCTGCAATCCACGCGGGCCTCCGACAGTTTAGGACTTTGCAGTGTGGTTGCGCCTCTCTGCTCGGATATTGCCAGGGTCCCAGGTAGGGGGAGCCGCTTAGCAGAGGAGGAGCAAGTACCCATAGCGCTGCCTTTCTCTCGTTTTCTTCCCATTTTTGTGGGCCTCCTGGGAGGTCCTCGTCGCCACCGCTGGATTCGCCTCAAAATTCTTGTCAGAACGCACCCGTGGAGTAGCGGTATCGGTACCTTTGGGTTCACCCAGGTTCGTGATTGGGCCCCGAAGCCCAATACATGAGCAGAATCATTAAGCCAGGTTTGCCACAGCGGGTGTTTCTTCGGGTGACGGCAGTTTCAGTCTGTGGAGTAGGGCGTGGAGGGTTGTCCTTCTTAATCAAGGTCCCAGGTTTGCCACAGCGGGTGTTTCTTCGGGTGACGGCAGTTTCAGTCTGTGGAGTAGGGCGTGGAGGGTTGTTCTTCTTAATCAAGGTCCCGCTAAACCCACTCCCGCCAACGCACGATCTATCCCCGAAGAATAAGCACCGGCATAAACAGAAGGGTTCTGAGTTCCGCGCGGATTTCTTGGATCGGCGCTGGGCCCGCCTGGCGACGCCTCCGGCGCCGCCCCTGGTGCGCTCCGGGTGCCAGGGAGAGGGGGTTCAGCGCCGATCCAAGGAATGTGCGCGGACCTCCGAGAGCTTATGATGATGCCGTTTCTCGTTCCTCTAATCATGCAGTTTTGTTGTGCTCCTCCATGCATCTCCGCCGATTCCCTTAGCTGTCCCCGTCCCCACCTGTACCTCGGTGTCAGCGCGCCAGTCTGAGACGCTGTCTCCCTCCAGACTCGTGGTGGTCTCAACGCTGACATTTCTCAAACAAAAACATATGATGTATATTTACTTTTATATTTACATACATATATATAAATATAGATACAGAACATGTTCGCACACGCCGCTCCCCCTGGAAGTGGGTCCCCCTTGTGCTCCAGGGGATGTAGTGCCCTGCGTTAATGGTCACCGTTTTCTGTCATTCGGTCTTACTCCCCGGCTGCTGCTGGCTCGGATCCAGCTTCCTGCTGGCATGCCCCGTCTCGGTTCCGTGTTCCGTGTCCTGGCTGTTGCCACCTCTTTGTTGTTATCTTGTTCCCAGCTTGATTCCATTGTCCTTCTTAATTTTGTTCGGTCGTCCGTCTCTGGCAGAAGGGAGGAAAAGCAGAAGGAGCAGAAAGTTCTGATCTGGTCTGGGCTCGCTTCTTCGCCAGAGGACACGCTCGGCCACATGAAGGACGAGGCCACGCTGCTCCTCTTGCACGCAGCATTGGTGCCATCTTCGGCGTTCCGAGACCCAGCGCGCGCAGCCGGTCAGCGCGGTTTTGCCTTGTTGTTTCATCCGAAGATATCTTGGCATACGTACGCAGAAGTTTTCGCAGGTCCGCGGGGAATTATTGGATCTGCGGTGGGCCCCCCTGGCGGTGCCTCTGGAGCTTCCCCTGGTCCGCGCGCCAGGGAGGGTGGTCCATTGCGGATCCAGGAGATGCGCGCGGATCTCCGCAAGTTCATGTTGATGCAGTTTTTTGTTGTTACATTCCTTCCCCACTCCCCTCCTGCGAGAAAAGTGGGTGCCATGCGAGGGTCCACGTAGGACATTTGCCCTCCCGCCTCTGCTGCTGATTCCGACTGTACTCAACTTTGCTCGGTCGCGGTGTTCGGGAGTCAAACAAAACAAGTTTTGCCATTTTCCCTCCCCCCTTCTCAAGTAGCGGGCGTGTAGGCGCACTTTTTGTTTTCCAGCCGGTGTTGCACCTCAGGCTGGCTTGTGCCAGGATTGATTCGTCCACAGTGGAGAAGGCTTGCCTCTCAGACAATCTTCACCATCCCCGTGTGCTCCCGCGTCGCATGTTCTCTTGAATTCGGTCTTTACACACATCCACACATGTACTTCTGTGTATTTGCAGGTGTGTAGGATACGCTTGTGTGTGTGTGTTTGTGTGTGTGTGTGTGTGGGCGCATGTTAGGTTCGGGGAGCGCCCACATCAGGTCGTGCTGTGCAATCGGGGCCTGTCGACGTGTTGTTTCTTGCACCAGCACGTCCGCGGAGGAAGCGGTGCGTGTGCGTTCGGTCGCGCGCGCGTGTGCTCGTACCTGCTGCGAACGGCTCCTGCTGCTGCTGATCTCTCTGTCACGGGCCGCTGCGACTGGGCTGCTGATGCGAGTGCGCGTCCGTGAGCGCATCCTCTGCTATCGGGCGCCACTGGCCCACGCCCGCTGCTCTTGAGCTGCCTGCTGCTTCGCCCACTCGAACTCGCTGGGGGCCCAGAGGCCGCCGCCGTTTTCGCGGTCAAGTGCTTCTTGGCCAACTTGCAGGCGCGGCGCGGGGCAGGGCGGAGGACGACAGGGGGAGAAGCAAGCCCCTCCGTCCCGCCGCTTCACCCGGACCGGCCTGGAACTCTTTCCACGTCGGAGGTCTCGCGTCTGGACGCCCGAGATGGGTACGGAAAGAACGGGTATGATGCCCAACAGCAGTTCCTGTTCAGTTAGAACAGGACGCCGCCGCGGCCTGTTTCCATTTGAGATAGAAGGCCGCCCGCCCAACAGCGGCCGCTGTTGGTTTGGGACAACATTTGTTGTTGGGCATTGTACCCATTTTTGTCCGTACCCAATTTCGGGCGTCCAAATCGGGAAAGACTCCAGCGTGCGCTCATTTCTTGTGCAACGAGATTCGTTGTCCAAGCCTTTCCGATGTGGCCGAGCGCTGGAGGAAGGTGGGAGGAAGGGAGAACAGGAGGGGGAGCGGAGCAAGATGACGGGGTTGATTCTCCCTCCTGCCCTGTGGCCTGGGGACCGGAGTCCATCACGCTCATCTCAGGAGGAGCTGCGGCCGCGCCATGGGGGCAAGGCTATTGGCCTCGTGCATCTATCTTCTTCCTTCATTCCCTTCTCCCTCCTTGCCTCCCTGCCTTGTCCCTCCTTCCTTCCCCAGCATCCCTCCTGCCCCCTTCCTTTCTGCTCCCTTCCCTATCCTCCACCCCTCCATCATGGCACGCTCGTTCCTTTTTCGGTTAGACCCGGTGCAGGGGTTTCTGGTAAGCTGTGTCCATTCTTCCGATGTCCAGTACATTCGTCCGATATCCAGCTGTAAGTTGTCCAGTTGCGTTTTTCTCACGACAGACCAGTCACGTGTTGTACAGCAGTCGAAACACTGAAGCAATAATCACTTTGGGTTCACGCGGGGCACTGATTTTCGGCAGTTCTTTCTGGTCCAGGTCGGGGAACCGATCCGTTGCCGATGCTCGTTGTGGCCTGGAAAGCCCCTCGTTGCTTGTTGGTTGCCCTGCATGGTAGCGCGATACCTCTAAGTGATTTCTTGCCAGTTGAGTGTGGTAGATCGCGCGCGTTTCCCATCTCAGCGTAATTCATGGCAGAGACACAGGAATGCCCCTTTTGCTCCATTGGTGGACAAATCCGAGGGTCAATCAAGCACGATAAGCAACACACGCATGTTCAAGCAGTGGTTGGTGAACAAGCGGTATTCGATTAAACGAAAACAGGATGGACAACACCCTCGAGGGAGCTTCTCACCCATGCCTTGTGTACCACCATCGTTTACTTCATCGGGTCTCTTCTTGTCCAATCGCCTCATTCCTGGCAGTACGATCGATCCGATTCGATCGGCCCTGGCTGGCCCGATTTGATTCGATCTTAACATTCCGACGATCCGATGCGGCTTGATGCTCGATGTCGGTGTCGGCGTTGCTGTGCATACTGGCGCGCCCGATCCGATTCGGTCTCGGCTCCGTGCCGACGCGGCCCGATCGGGAGCACGTTTCGATTCGACCCGATTTCACGACTCGATGCCGACTGGTCCTGCCCGCGTCTCCTTCCTCAGCCTGGTGCTCTCGAGCTCCCCGCGACCATCGCTCTGTCGAGCGGCTCCAAGAGCTGGCCAGATGCAGCTCAGCCAGCGAGCGGCCCCCCCTCCTCTCCGTTCCCTTACATCGGGAATGTCCCTTACAGGTGGAAAATTCAAGAATAGTAAAACATGGTCTGGGGACGATCTTTTACTATTTTTGGCAATGTTTGAGCATTTTTGGACTTTGTCTATTTATCGTACAAAGTCCGCCTTGGGGGACATGCCAGACCTAACCGTTCCCCATCTGTCCTACAGACGCTGGCCTCAGCGGTGTCGTAAGTACCTTGGCTCCAGGTCAAGCCCTTCACCTGCTCTAGGCCCGCCGCATGAAAAGATCCAGATCACGCCTCGTGGTCACGCCAAGGAAGCGCAGATATGGATCAAGACGCGTGGATTGGCGACGGGTCCTGCTTCCATGCGACATTGGTGCGAGCCCACGCCAAGTTGGGCGTCACTGGCCTTGCTTTCGGGGGGTACTTTCACCGATCCGTGGATCTTGCGCCCACGCACCATATCTATGGATCCGTAAACCATGTTAGCGCGTGCCTGAGGGGGAGGGAGACGAGTAGTGAAGATGTCATCGTTAAGCGGCGGCGAGCCCGGGGGGAAGTGAGAAGGAGCAGGCCTTCTCAGAATGCTCGGAAGTCCCACAGCCTTCCGAGAAGTTTTCTAAGCCTTCCCCGACGGCACGGAACATTTCTCGGAAGGCCGGAGGGTTTCTGAGAGGTCCCGTCGCATTCCGAGAAGGCCTTCTACTCTTTCTTCCGAGAAGAAGAATATGACGAAGACGTTTTCTTTTTCTTCTTCTTCTTCTCAGTTCCCCCCTCGCTCGCCGCCGAGTTTAGAGAGGGGGGGAGGAGGACGGCGTGGCGGCTGCCGCCGTCGCCTCCCGCCGCCGCCTTCGCCGCCGGCGTCGCCGTTGCAGCCGGTGTTGCGTGCGAGGGGCTGTTTTGGCGCAGCGGCGGCCTTGCCGCCCGGCCCAGCTGCTTTTTGGGCCGGGCGTCGCCTGTTTCTGTTCCTCCCCCTTTTCCTCCTCCTCCTCCTCCTCAGCCGTTTCGGCCCAAGTTTTTGGGCCTGCAACGGCCGTCTTCGAAGCGGTAATCGCAGTTGCGGGTCACTGTGGCTCGGTAGCGTTCACATTCAGTTTACGGGATCTCAACCCGCTGTTGTCGACAGCTCCTGGGGGAACATTCATGGTGGATCCAGATGTCCTACCACGCCCGAAGCAGCCGAAGTGGGGATGTCACTCGTGTGGTCGCAACGCCAACTTTGCGAGCCGCATCAAATGATTCTGTGGCCAGAACGCGCCGGATAGCATCGTCGACTGGGCCAAAAAGCGAGTGGAGGAGCACCAGAAGACGATCTCCAGTGGCAGCGGTGGCCTACACCGCCGTCCGCGTGATGCTTGGGCTCGTGGTCCTCATTCCAATGATGTGGGGCTCGCCAAGCAGTTTCTTGTCCTGCAGAAACATATGGAGACCTCCACCAAGCAGTTCGGAGCGGGCGGCGGTTGCCAGTGTCAGCGGCCTGATGCCATGCACCCCGCCGCAGGTGGTGATGGTCGTCGAGGAGGCGACGCAGCAAACGATGATGCAGGCTGGCAGCTGCTGGTGCGCATCATGTCGCTGGAGTCCACGTACAGTTCAGTTCGTAATGATGAAGCTTTCCCGTCCGCCGTCAAAGAGTCCCTTGAGAAGGAGCTCGAGGATGCCAGGGCGGAGCTCAACAGCCAGAGGCCGTCGCTGTCTCGTCGCGCGGCCTTGGGGCACAAACTCCAACGGTCCAGTCAAAAACTTGAAAAGATGGATGAGGACATCAAGGTGCAAGAGTATTTCATTCGTGCTGTGAAAGTGGAGCTTGTCAACATGCAGGAGAAGGCTCGTCTATTGCGTGTGGACATTGAGCCCGCCAAGCTGGAACTGCAGGAGACCCTGTCCAAGGTTGCGCCGCCTGCTGTTCAATCCGTCGAGCTCACAGCCGAGAGCGCCCGGGCAGACCCAGAGGTGCAGCAGTTCATGGGCGCGCCGGTGTTCACCAAGTACAAGAAGCTCTTGGAATCTCAGCTCCAGGCAGAGGCGGCCAAAGGCTTCCCGCCTGCCCCTCCCCCGCGTCTGGGAGCCAAGGGAAAAAGGGCCAGGAGGCTGCCGCTGCCACAGCAGTTCCAGGCGATGTCGATATGGAGGAGTTGGACGAGGATGGGGCGGAGAAGCTATTCGCTGCAGCGCGCTCCGGGGGGCCCGATCACAAGAGGGCCTTTGAACAATTGTGCGGACAGCTCGGGGCCAAAACTAAGATACAAACGTGTGGGCGACACTATCTTCCAACGTCCTGCCCCCCTTGTGCCGCGGGATACCCATGTCCTGCGCAGGTGCCCCCGTTCCACCTTTGAAGGGGGTGCCGCATGGGAGCAGCACTGACAATCGGTGCCACAAGGAATGTTCAATGGTTCGTGCTGGGCTACTTTCAAACGGCGACTTCGAGAGAGTTCAGCGGTCCTTCTGCGTGCGCGGGAGGTGTGCACGGGTCCAGATTTCGTTGGCGGAGCTTCTGCTACGGCGCGGAGTCTTGGTTGGCACGCGCGGTTCGCTCCCAGCTACATCAACTGCGGCGCAGGCAAGAAGTCCACTGGCGTCGCGGTCTTCGGGGGGCTCAACATCGGCCTCAAGTGGCCACCAGGAGGGGGGCGCTGCGCTTGCCCCCCCCCCCCCGCCACAGGCTCGTGAAGGTTCTCGTGGCCTTCCCAGGCTGGCCTTCTATAGCGGTGTTTCCGGATTACCTCGCATCTGCTGAAGGCCTCAGTGAGTTCAACCTCGACCTGTTATCCCGACTCGGCAAGGCTGCCGGTGGCCCCGCCCATTCGGTCATCGCGGGCGATTGGAATATGTCTCCAGAGGTCCGGGAAAGTCCGGGGTCCATTCGTGAGGTAGGCATTTTCGTCGTGGCCACAGCGGCGCCCACTTCTCTGAGCCCCGCGTCGAGTGCGGTCATCGATTGTTTCGCGTTGGGCGCTGGCCTGGCCAGACTTGCTTCGGGGGTGCAAACAGACGTGCAGTTGGATATCCAGCCACGCCGCCCAGTTATTCTGCAGTTTGCCCCGACGCGCTCAGCGCCGAGCAGCTGATCTTTCGCAGCCGCCCGAAGTTGCCGCTCGAGCCGCCCTTCGGCCCACAGCCTGAGCGGGGCTGCTGGGGAGAGGCTCTGTTTCCCGCTGCCCATGCTGCGGCTCAGGCACAGCGTAGTCTTGTTGACCAGGTACGGGCTAGTCTAACTTCAGCTTGGACTACGTTTGTCGATTGTGCTGAGTTGGAGCTGGCCCCTTCATTTCTAAGGGGTCGAAGTCGCAGCGCTGGGTCAGAGGGGAACTGCGATGCAAGATTCCTGGGCTCGCGCATTTATCGACGCAGACGAGCAGATGACCAGCTTCAAGTTAATGCAGGGTGGCGGTGGCGATATC